CCTGCCCTGACAGGGAGAGTGTGCAGGTTCGAATCCCGACAGAGACAATTTTTTTCATACAACTGAATTGTGTAATCTAGAAATCAAGTTAATAATACATATATAATTGCTTAATATACAGAAGAGGACGACAAGGCTCTTGGCGAACCTGATAAACAGTTTTATATGGCAGTGGACATTAGATCTGTGAATAATGACCGTTACCATGATCCCGTGTACTATCCATTGGAACGATTTGGTTTCGAATACCGGCTGGAGATCGCCCAAATGAATGAAATCAGCTTTCTTCTTCCACCTTCACCACCTCTTACGCAATACGATGATTTAAGCGAAAAGCAATTCTGTACTAAAGAAACAACCTTCAGAACAAAGAACTGCACCGCCGAATATTGCGAATGTACACAGATTATTGAGGTCGACCTGGGTGATGTATGTTATTGAGTAATTTTACGAAAACAGCATGAAATTATAGGCATAGTACCATCCCCCTTTCCCCCTTTTGCCCCCCTTTTCTTCTCCCTTTTTTTCTCTCTTTTTGGGGTCCTAACCCTCTTTTCCCCAGGGATCCGCCTATGATGATAATGATGAAGATAGTGGTGATAGAAATAATAATTTAAAAATATTCTTAATTTTAGCCTGATATTATAAGAATACCAATAAGGATATCATCAACATTGTCCTTCCAGGTCGTGGAGTTAATCGTGGTAAATGAAGCCTCGATCATTCCTCTCAGCCATTCAATACATCTACACGGATATCACTTTCGATTTATCGGAAAAGGGAAGATTGGAGATACGACTACGGTTGAAGAGGTGAAAGCAATGGACAAAGCAGGTTAGTTATTCCATATTTCTACTGGAGGTTCGGGCAGAGCCTGGAGTGGGGTGGGCGGGGTGGGGTTCCTAAAGTAGGCCTATATAAGGTGATGGGAATCCTGAATGCAACCTTAAGAAGCAAATTCAATTAATGTTAGATAAACAACCGGTGGTGGCGCCAGAGATTCCCTCGACGAGCCACCCCCCCCCCCCATTGACGTCGATCGTTGGGGAACAGGGGACACGCCTCTATACATTTCGAAAGGGGGGGGGGACATAAACAAGTCAAACTTGATGTGAAATCCGTTTTTGTCATTAAACGTGTTTTTTTTTGTTTCTAATGTTTTTCTCTACGCTGTTTTTAGTCCTTTATTGCTCACTTGAATTTTTAGGCGCTGTGGTCTTTGTAGAGCGCCATATAAATGTTTGTTTTGTTATTATTATATCAATTGTGTGTCTCCTACCCCCTCTCAATATTCACCATTCTTCTCTACTTCTCAAACCGAGTAGAAAAAACAACAATTACGAATAAAAATATTCTCATTCAAAAACTGGAAACATAATAAATATAAGAACGCAAAAAATACATTATGAAATTCTTCTAAAAACTAAATAAATAACAAGAACAATGTAATTTAATAATGTAAGTAAAAATAGCAAATTGGTAATAAAAAATTACAATAAATAGCAATAGTTGAAGATATTATTATTATTATTATTATTAATAGTAGTAGTAGTAATAGTAGTAACAGCAGCAAAAGCAGTAGTAGTAGTAGTAGTAGAAGTGGTAGTAATAATAATAATAATAATAACAACAACAACAACAACAACAACAACAACAATAACAATAACAATAACATTAATAATAATAATAATAATATTAATAATAATAACAAGGTTGTGTAAGGACACAAAGAGCCATTAAGGTTTTAAATCTGCGCCTCCAATTAACTTAACGCTCAGTAACATTGATAGCGAAAGAATGCTTAAAATTCATCAATAGGCCTAAAGTAAAATTAATTACAGTGAGTGTAATATTTATAAGTAATAATAAAAATAAATTAATTATAATAATTGTATACGTACCGGTACTTATAAAAAAAGTAGTAGTAATATTTTATTCGTATTTTTAACAAAGATACTACTACTACTACTACTACTACTGCTGCTGCTGCTGCTGTTGCTGCTAATAATAATAATAATAATAATAATAATAATAATAATAATAATAATAATAATAATAAAACAGCAAAACGACAAAAGAAAGAAGAAAAATTGAACAAATAATGTTGTGTTAGGAGGGCACATTAAGCTATTAATTTTTTAAGACTGTGCCTTCAATAAGGTATTGATAAAGACATTGAACTTCAATGCATACAAACAAGCAAGGTAATCAATATTTTTATGAATGTTATTCTGCACAAAATATAATTGGGCATTTAATTCAAGATTTACGGGGCAAATTGAAACACTTTTTTATGATGAATATTCTGAAAACGTAGTGTGGAAATAAATGTTAATTGAATTGTAAAATAATGTTACACTTAAAATCAATATAATTAAATACGACTTATAAAAAGGTACAGAACGCCAGAGCTTCCGGGTATTTTGGCCCATGGGCCCTCACCGGCGCTCAGCCTCTGGACCCCACAGTGCTAGACATTGGGCCTCCAGACGGTCCAAGACGAGTCCCTCTTTCTCATTCACTCCACCCCCACTCCCACTTTTAAGCACTGATAAACGCCTTTGGGCAGCTCTGATATCTGGAAATGGCACGTTTATACTTTTTTTTCTTCAAATGGTTTCAATTAAAATGTTAATAATTATTATTATCATTATCACTGGGTAGGTATTACCATGATACCAGATGAAACATTTTGAGAATTAAGTTTTACATGCAATGTTATTGAATTAATCTTAAGGTAACCTGACTCGCAAATTACACGGAGCTGTCAGGAAGGACACGTTTGTAGTTGATGATGGTGGATATGCGATCATAAGGTTCCATGCAGACAATCCAGGCTGGTGGATGTTCCATTGCCATCTCGTTACCGACTTTAAGGTAAATTTTATTCCTGCAATATTTAACGAAATTGATCCTCAATCCAGTGAAAATATCATATAAGATACATCCCTGATGCTCATAAACCGAGCGAATGATCGTCGTTGTACTTGGGAGTGTATAGGGATTTACAGTATTTTAGTTATGTGATTCAATATGCTAAAACTACCTGCTTGGGGACTGAAAGCATATTATAGATCCCAGGTATTCAACCTTGTTAAATTGCCAATTTGTAATGGCCACGGCGGTGGCGATTACAAATTTAGTAAAACCATCCGCGGGCCGACATTGACTTGTGTCTTATAAGGCATAAGTCTTCTTAATAATAGGCGAATTATAATATAAAGCCTTGTTTATGAGATTGAAAATACTTTTAAACCTAAACTATGATAGGCTTTGTTTTGTAAAAATTATGGAGGAGGTCTGTGTAGTACCGTAGATATCCGTCTGTCGTGAGTATAATTTTCACAAATAAACTTAATAAAAACCCAATACTTTACTTTGTACGGTATGCTTCTCTGTGTTACGTGTTTATTGCCTTTTCCTTCAGCTGGTATTTCTATACATTGTTGTTATGAATTTATGAAATTCTTAATTTGTCTTAATACATTGTCATTTCAATTTCACCATATTACAATAAAGCTTATTTGAATTTGAATCAAACAAAGTTAGAACGAGAAAGCGTATTCCACTACAATTAACAGATAATATACCTCTAATTTTTTGGATAATTTGTTGGCAATCAATTTAATAATTTTCTAGTAAAACGTGTATTGAAAGTTGAAAAAAACACCAATTCGATAGGTGAGATTTTTGTTTCAAGATCTTACGTCGTATTCTTTGTTCATTCCCATACGTCATGATAATAATTACTTATAATTTGTTCCCTGGTAAGCATTGCCTTAAAGAGGGCGACCTCTACGACGAGCGCATCTTAGGCTCACTTCCAAACAACACAGAAGATAGGCCTACCACAGACGATAGGCCTCCACACATTCTAAATGTGATTCAATTTAATATCTCTTTGAAAAATATTTAAAATATGATTTTAAGATGCTTTCATTTTTCATTTTTGCTTAGCTTGGAATGGGCGTGCTGATTAAAGTCGGAGAGCAGTCGGACTTACCGGAGATACCTCCAAATTTTCCCCGATGCGGCTCGTTTAATGGCCAACAGAGATCCGAGGTAGATAATATCCAAGACAAACCGGGAAGCGCTTCAGCTGCATTCATTAGCATTTATGTCCTTTTGTTCTTGTTCATCTGTATCAAAGTTCTCTAGATTAGGTCATATTGTTGTTTTTTTTTAATACAGCACAAAATTATGTTTTCCTTTATTTGGTTGGCAGAATCACTTGAATGGATTTCGAAGATGAAACAAATAAAAAACCGCTGCTTGTATGTGGCGCTCTTTATTGTTTACTATTTATTGGTTATGTTGTTAATATTACGTATTATTTATAATGTTACCTTTATAGATTTTTATACTGTACCAAACTTTAGTTTTACTAATCTACATAGACGAATGATTGCCATGAACTGGTGAGTGGATATTAATGTACAGTATTGTTTTTCATGGATACAGTTTTAACTATAAATGTTGATCGATCACAGTGTAAAGACGATACACAACATGGCTTGACTTTAGTTTGATTGATAATTGTATATCTTTGCTTCTATGTTTTATGATGATTTACTGTAACACATGATTTAGGTTGATTTTAATATGATTAATAGCATTAAGTATATTGTCCTTGATTTAAAAAACTCTTATTTTTCTATGTAACTCTATTTTGTTAGAGGCAAGTTATGATAATTTTGTACCCCTTTTTACAGAGGCTGCTTTTCCTGCTTAGTGTTACCCAGACTTTCTTTGACCGGGTTCATTTTGCTACGTCACTTTGATGAATAAATGTTATGAAATCCAGACGAGTTACCTGTTGTCGTTGTATGTGTCGACCGCTACCCCACACAAATAGTTAGGGAGGCCGGAGCTTTTTACATTTCTATTACTGAATTTTGTCATTAGGGCCATTTTTACCTACTTGTCATTTGGGCCATTTTTTCCGGGGCCATTCTTACCTACATTCATGTTTTTATAATTCGTTATGCAAATTACGAAGTAATAAAAGTTCACCAGTGCTCTTTAAGTTACAATTAGGGCCTATTGTGTGTGGTCTACAGGTCGCAGATCATCACCAATCGAAAATGGCACAGCAAGGGATACAGCAGATTATTGAATCTGCTGTACTGCAAATCTCAAATCAATTAAGAGAACCCCAAAGTTAACGCCACGGCCCTCGAGAATCTCGATTTGAGTCTGTCGTGTCCGGGTCCGGGGCAATGTCCGGGGAAATGTCCGGACCCATTGCTAGTGATAGGCATAATACCGAGGCTCATCATTAGACACAGCGAACGAACTACCACGGTATTTTGCGGATTTCCCCCAAAAAAGACATGAAAATTTATATGAAGTTTACAACGAACGGTAATAATATAAATTTGTCCTGTAATGTTTTATTTGGATTAATTTTGACAATTATGAAGTTAAAAACAACTCAAAAATGTAATTTTAAAGATGCTTTGGTTGATATTATGAACCAACTAGTTCTAGTAGAATTGCCTCGAAAACAATACCGTGGTCAAGCTGCAGATGTTATTGCAATCGACATGTTAGTGCAGGGGCTTATGTATTTTTGTTGTTCGCAATTCATGTTAATTAATGGCAACAACGCTCTTCCGACTCTTTTTTACTGAACAAGAAAAATATTGGTGCCAATTTTTTCGAGGTTAAGTGGCCGCCATCTTGAAAAACAAGATGGCACACAATTTTACAATAATTGTCTCACGTGTTTTAGTAGAAAATGATTATTTAAACATACGCAACAGATTCATTGTAACCCTACACTCTCGGAAAACAGGAAAAAGTGTATTGCGCGGTAGACTTTAATCGTTTGAACTTACACCTTTCGATCGGTGGCGCTCGATGACAATCGGTGCGTTCGTAAATAAAAAGGTACAAGCTTAACTAAACAAATACATAAAAAGGAGAAATATGCATAAAAAATATACATATAAACACATAAAACTAAAAACAAAAGTACGGTAAGTCACAGAAATGAGAGAGTAGGTAGCCCCTGGAAACCAAGAAAGTTCAAAGAGCTTTCTCCTGTCTCCAACTTAATAACAATTATGACTACTGTAGCTACATAATAAAAAAATATTACACATGTTCAGCAATACAGAATTTAATTTACAATAAGGATTGAACATGCTTAATTTATGATCTCTTTTTCCATAAAAGATATAAAAAACGCTTTTGCGTACTTACATCAGAGCATGGAGGTATCATCCTCCATGATCAGAGCATGATACCAAGGCCATAACGTAGCAATAATTTCCGGTGGTATCTGGAAACTGGGATTCCGAACGGTTTTGGCAAGAGGTATCAATTAGACACCACCGGCAGAAGCAGCATAAACAAGGTAGGATATATTTCTTTAGTTATGAGACTGTTGAAATTTTGGAGTGCACTATATTATAAATATTACACATACGACTATAGTGTCTGCATAATTTATAGGGTTTTCACAGGAAAGGTGAGCTCATTTTGTTTTGTGTTTGAACTTATATTTGTTTTTGATTGTAAATGCTAATGATAATTCAATTTAACTTTTATAAAATAACATTCACCTAAAATTATCAACATGGAGTTTTTACTGTTGGCCTACGATCGCCCAAATAACACAGTCCTGACTCCAATGAGCAACGTGCACATCAAGTTACTGTAGTTAATCATGGGATGGGAATATTTCGGGAGCTCAATACACAGGTTCTAAACAAACACATTGGCATTTGAACGACTACATCATTAACAACCCAACCAGGAAATACAGTTGTAATCCTTCGCTTTGCCCTTTTCCCTTATCAGCTAAGCAAGAGGTCATCTGAATGAATGTAGGTAAAACTGGCCCCGGTAAAAATGGCCCAGGAAAAAATGTCCCCGTCAAAAATGGCCCCAAAAGACAAGTAGGTAAAATTGGCCCCAATGAAAAAATTCAGTAATAGAAATGATATTTTTTTTTAGTCTTCAAATATTTAAATACTGTAATAAGCAAGAATTGAATCAATAACAAATACAGTTACACAACAGATGCAAATAATGTACTGAGAGATTATCAGAAAACAACGGCCATTGAACATTTTTTGATAGTTGAAATAAGTTTATATGCAACTCATAGATAACCACAAAATTCACTTTTGTTAAGTATCAAATGAAATAACTTTACATGTTATAAACTGTGCAAATAAACAGTAGTTAAAGCATGTGAATCAATTGTGTGTTTGAAGGACAAGTTCATGTATGGGAAAAGGGAGGCTTACTTTACTTCAACAAATGTTCTGCTTAAGTTACTTCAAAGAAGTATTTGTTAATCAAATATTGTTTTTAAAGTAAACTGAATAACTAGGAATACATTTATTTAAGCAACTTATTTAATTGCATACTTGGTTTCTACTCCCCGCCAAGTAAATTTAAGTGCCTAAAACTATACTAAATAATGTAAACTGAGATACTATATACATAGTTATGTAAATATGGCAATTATGCTAAGAATTAAAATGGCGTGTAATTGTGAGGGTAAAGTAATTATGGTAGGATCAAATCGTATTGCTAAATCCCAAATACCTCCTAAAACACACTGTAGAAAACCAAACAATTCAATTGTGATTGAATCACTTGTTATATCAAAAAGAAAATTAAATATTTATAAGAACCTATTTTTTGGTTAAATTGTTGATTTTTTTTTGTGAAAAAATACTTGCAAATACACCACAATCCTCCAAACACACTGCGGACCCCATCCAAACCCTTTAATTACGATAGTAGAGCTCTCTTTTTCTAAAATAATAATAATAATTTGATGTTCATATAAACTCATTCTTTGTGTGGTTTACCAATACCTGGATTGAATTTCTGGAAAATTGTGATTCCGCTTCCTTGAAATTGGCCACAAATAAATTATTTTAGTATTAATAAATGCATGATTTATGTTGATTTATTGATTATGTTGTTGCTATTTTTTAACATTTAAATGGAAAAAAAATAACAAGTGTTATTCATGGCTTTTTTTAAAATTTTTGAATATTTTATCATTGAATATATAATTTCTGCAAAAATAATATGTAAATGGCAATTTATTTTGATGTTAGATTCCTTTTAAAAATTAAATTATTTCAGTTTAAAAAAATGCATATAATGATTTTTAAAAAAAAATCAGTTTTAATACAGAATTTTATTATTGGGGCCATTTTTACCTACCTGTCATTTGGGGCCATTTTTTACCGGGGCCATTTTTTTCTGGGCCATTTTTTCCGGGGCCATTCTTACCGTACACCATACTTTTATATCATCGTCATCATTATCATCATCAAGCTATTTCACCCACTGCTGTGGGAAGCCCTCCTCTAATATCTTCTTCTGTCTGGTGCTATTCTTGCCCAGTTTGCAGTTTCCATATATGTTTTGATATCATCTTTCCATCTTCTTTTTTGTCGTCATGTGTGGAAAAATAGGTGTCTCAACCTCTCTATATAGGCCTACATACACACTACTGTTTATTCTTTAATTAGGAGTTTACATGCTCAACATTTGATGGTCAACTTAGGCATATACACCAGGGAGCCCCTAATTATTACAAGACAAAAAAGCTGTGATACCAGTGCCACGCAGTAACAGTTTAAAACAATAGGAAGAACTTAAAGGTATGATGGACGTAAGGTTTAACTAGAAGGACAACGTTTTATATGCTGATGTAACAACCTAGTTGCATTGTTCAGCCGTTTAACTACAGGAACTGCTAAACCGAAAATTTGGCCTCATCATAAAGTTTATGGAAAGAGAGGAGATTATCATTGTATCTTAAACTTGCGAATGGGTTCCGGTGTCACTTGCCACCTGATCCGTTGCCGCCCGGCCTTTTGCCATCTCGCATTTATTGCCACCCGAACTTTTCCCACCCGGCCTTTGCCACCCGATCATTTACCACCTAGGCCCGTTGCCACCCTGCCATTTGGCACTCTAACTATACATTGGCAAAAGATTTGTTTCTGTAATTTGTTGATGGCGATCTATGTTGTATGTAATGGTAGTTGATACAAAATTTAACTTAAATTCTATATTTCCATAATACATTTCCTCACGAAAGACAACGTCGTTTATTTTTTCAATTTTTCTTTTTAATCCGTTCACAAAAATATGATTTTCTGCATTTATGTGTTTTATACAATCATAATCAACTTAAAATCATTTTTGCACATTTTTATGCAATTATAAAAACTTATAAAAAATGTTAATGTACAATTTGTATACCTTACTAAATGAATTAATTTACATATACATATGTATATAATAAAAAGGAGTCAGTCGTGGCTGACTAATCATCATAATCGCAATATATCTTACTAAATTCAATACCTGATTTCTTTGATGCGGATTTTAATTTCCATTTACCAATATAGTTTAAAGTACGTTCTTTATATAATCAAAACTTTCCAGGACTGAATATTTTATTTAAATGTTTTGTTTTTGTATCAAGCTGCTGGAAAAAGCTGGTAAATAATAAAAGTTAAATTTGTTTTTAAAAAATAAATTCCAAATAAATTTAGCCTCTTTACAATCAACAGAATGGTGTATTTCATTGGCTATTTACATTCAGTGCATAGATTGTTGTTTCATTTCATTTTTGTTTATGTATTCGACCATGTAAATATTAAAAGGCACAACGACAACAAGAAACAACAACACGATGGTCAGGGACAGCTAAAGCAAATAAATTACTGTAACTCAAAAGAGTCAGCTGACCCTAAAAACAGTTAAGATCAAAGGATAAGGTGAATATTGCACACAATAGAAAAGGTCAATAATTCTCATTTTGTGTATAACTTTCTTGTGGGTATAATCATATATATCATATAAAATCATAAATAATTTTGTGCATCACTCTAATTAAAGTACTTATTTTCTTTTGCATTATTAGGTGCAGATGGCAGATATATAAACGTCTCAATGTGACGGTTATATATCTGCCATTATTGTTAATAACTTTTTTTGTTAACTTTATAATCGCAGTTCTTTTTAATTAGAGTCGATACCTCTCATCATTAATACACTTTAAAAATATTTTCTTACTATAAGCGAAACACTAAAAAGATTAACTGTGCTAGGCGGCATAAACAATAAGCAGCCTTGAACTTTAAGGGAGTTTTTTTTTTTTTTTTTTTTTTAAATTTTTTTTTTATTGTCATTCCCAGGTTCGAGCTAAATTTGTTGAGCCTTCCAAATTTCATTCGCTTCATGCTATATCCACAACTGGAAATAATTATCGTGAAAATGTGAATCAAATAGCTAAACCACATTCATTTTTTACCAATAGAAGACACGTCTTTTAACCAAACGCATCGACGGAAGGCAACAAGAACTATGAGAACAAATATCTTATTTATTGGGATACTGGTTAGCCAAGTATTACAAGCAAAACTAGGTAAATTTCATTGATCGTCTAAAGCTTGGTTTCCAAATAATCGTTACACGCTATCGCCGACAGCTTTCGGTGATGCTGATTGGTCGGTCGAATTGGGGAGCCTTCCCTAATTCGTTGGGGATTGTTACGCAGTACAACGATTGCACTGAAAACACTGTAGCGACAATGTAGCGATGTTAAGGAAACCAAGCTTTACAATTTTTCATAAGTCTTCCATATCTTTGGAAATACCACGAGTGACTGGGGATTTCGCCACTTAAGTTCATATCATCAAACAAAGAATATGCCCACAATCAGGTATTTATTTAATTCCGTTATATAATGAAAATCCAAAAATCATATCTAAGAATGATCAAACCGTAGGGTTAACTTTAACAAAGTTTCAATACCCTTTGGTTTAATAAAACTGATCTTTTCGAATTCATGTATTTTTACACGGTTGGGAGTGAAATTAATTTTAAAATATTTTAATTGAAATGTGTACAGTATTTCACCTATGAATTGGGGGGTGGTGCCAGGATTTGGGGTCAGATTTGGGGGTTTCTCGGCAAGGGCGTTTATGGGAGTGCCCAGTTACTGACCAGAAAGGGGTAAAGGGAGATTTGAAAGATTTCTTTAATCGATTTTAGAGTCCTACAAACTCCCCGGACCCTACCTGCGCCACATGTTATGAAGATTCAATCAAAGGAATAGGATAGCTAGATGATGTTGCAGTATTAAACCTTTTGAAGATGACAAAATATTTTAAAAATCGTTGACTTTGCATTCTTTAGGCTTGGTTTCCATAAAATCGCTACACAATATTCCCGACAGCTTTCGGTGATGCTAATTGGTCGGTCGAATCACGGAGCCTTTTCGATTGCGTTGGGGATTACTATGCAGTACGACGATTGCACTGAAAACACTGTAGTGACAATGTAGCGATGATTTTACGGAAACCAGGCTGTACGGTTTTTAAAGCGATTGTAATTTTACGTCACTGCGTTTAATGTTAACCCATTATTTTTAACAGGTTCAGGGACATACTCATTGAATGGGATTGATTGCAAACGCCAATGCAAGTGGCCGGCCGAACCCGCGGTTTGCCGTTTCAATTTTAACATAGATTGGTATTAATCTATGTCTAAAGCGTGCTATGATTGTCCGTTCAATTTAACGCATTGCAAATCACCGGATTGTATACCACTCAATGGCGTAAAGAGAGGCATACTTGTCGCAAACAAACAGTTTCCAGGGCCTAGTATTGAGGTACGATTTGCTTTATATACTTTTAAAGAATAATACAGTTGACTCATGAATCGAGGATTCTAATTTTTTTTTTTTATCGAATTTGTCTATTAGGCCTAATTGTCATTTTTATATACCTTATTTATTCGAATAAACGCCCGCTTTACTCGTATAACTTTAGGTATGTTTTTCTATTACTGTTAGTGTTGTTAGTTTTTACTATCACATTTTATTTGAAAAAAAACTGTTGCATGCCCATATATAGTCATGATGTGCCTATATATGGTTATGATGTGATGATTATTAATTATCATAGGTATGTGAAGGAGACATAATCGAAGTTGAGGTTATTAACAATCTTCCTAGTGGAGAAGGGACGGCTCTTCATTGGCATGGTCTTCATGTACGAGAATCGCCGTACATGGATGGAGTCACGATGATAACCCAATGTCCAATCACATCTTATACCAACTTCTTGTATTGGATGAAAGCTGACCCGGTTGGCACTCACTGGTGGCACAGCCACGCCGGATTCCAAAGGGCGGATGGATTGTTTGGCGCCCTCATTGTACGACAAGCGCCCTCTCGTTACCTTTATTTACTATTATGATTTCCCTGCTGCAATATACTGTAAGCTGTTTTAGCTTTTCTGTAGCATATGTGAGTGTTTCATGAGAAAAAGTGCCTATGGGGTTAAATCTGCATGAGATTATGTAGGTTCGAATCCCGACAGAGACACTTTTTTTTCATACAACTGAATTGTGTAATCTAGAAATCAAGTTAATAATAATAGGCCTATATAATTGCTTAATATACAGAAGAGGACGACAAGGATCTGGGCAAACCTGATAAACAGTTCTATATGGCAGTGGACATCGGATCTGTGAATAATGACCGTTACCATATTCCCGTGTACTATCCATTGGAACGATTTGGTGTCGACTACCGGCTGGAGATCGCCCAAATGAATGAAATCAGCTTTCTTCTTCCACCATCACCACCTCTTACGCAATACGATGATTTAAGCGAAAATCAATTCTGTACTAAAGAAACAGCCTTCAGAACAAAGAACTGTACCGCCGAATATTGCGAATGTACACAGATTATTGAGGTCGACCTGGGTGATGTATGTTATTGAGTAATTTTACGAAAACAACATGAAATTATAGGCATAGTACCATCCCCTCTTCCCACCCCCCACTTTTTTTTTCTTTTCTTCTCCCTTTTTTTTCTCTCTTTTTGGGGTCCTAACTCTCGTTTCCCAAGGGATCCGCCCATGATGATAATGATGAAGATAGTGATGATATAAATAATAATTAGCCTGATATTATAAGTATACCAATAAGGATAACATCAACATTGTCCTTCCAGGTCGTAGAGCTAATGGTGGTAAATGAAGCCTCGATAATCCCTGTCAGCCATCCAATACATCTACACGGATATCACTTTCGATTTATCGGAGAAGGGAAGATTGGAGATACAACTACAGTTGAAGAGGTGAAAGCAATGGACAAAGCAGGTTAGTTATTCATATTTCTACTGGAGGGTCGGGCAGAGCCAGGAGTGGGGTGGGCGTTGTGGGGTTCCTAAAGTATGTGCCGAGGCTTTAGAGGGGATGATAATCCTGAATAGCCACCTTGAGGCAATTTCAATTAATTTTAGATAAACAACTGGTGGTGGCGCCAGAGATTCCCTCGACGAGCACCCCACATCCCCACTCCTTATGGACGTCGATCGTTGGGGGACATGGGACACGCCCCTACACATTTCGAAATGGGAGGGACATAAACAAGTCAAACTTGACGTTAAATCCGTTTTTGTCATCAAACGTGTTTTTTTGTTTGTAATGATTTTCTCTACGCTGTTTTGTAGTCCTTTATTTATGTCGCAGGAGGCGAGTACAAGACGAAACAAAGAAAGGAAAAGCAATGAGGTCTGCGAGGCTTGGAAGCAAAGCGAAGAGAGGATTCACATGTCTAATGCAAACTATTAAATTACCCCTTAGACCAAAACAAATATAGCGCCTCTACAAAATCGCCAAGTATACGCCCTCCCACAACACAAATTCACTTTTCTTCATTTTTAGGAAAAATGTGTTTGCTCACTTGAATTTTTAGGCGCTGTGGTCTTGGTGAATCGCCATATAAATGCTTATTTTGTTATTATTATATCAATTGTGTGTCTCCTACCCCCTCTCAATATTTACCATTCTTCCATACTTTCAAACCGAGTGGAAAAAACTACTAGGCCTATTACTACTACTACTACTACCACTACCACTACCACTACCACTTCCACTACCACTTCCACTACCACTACTGCTGCTGCTGCTGCTGCTAATAATAATAATAATAATAATAATAATAATAATAATAATAATAATAATAATAATAATAATATTAATGATAATAAAACAGCAAAACCACAAAAGAAGAAGAAAAATTGAACAAATAATGTTGTGTAAGGAGGGCAAATTGACAAAAGAAATTAATAAGGTATTGATAAAGACATTGAACTTCAATGCATACAAATAAGCAAGGTAATCAATATTTTTATGAATGTTATTCTGTACAAAATATAATTGGGCTTTCAATTCAAGATTTACGGGGAAAATTGAAACACTTTTTTATGATGAATATTCTGAAAACGTAGTGTGGAAATAAATGTTAATTGAATTGTAAAATAATGTTATCATTAAAATCAATATAATTAAATACGACTTATAAAAGGGTACAGAACGCTGGAGCTTCCGGGTATTTTGCCCCATGGGCCCTCACCGGCGCTCAGCCTCTGGACCCCACAGTGCTAGACATTGGGCCTCCAAACGGTCCAAGACGAGTCCCTCTTTCTCATTCACTCCACCCCCACTCCCACTTTTAAGCACTGATAAACGCCTTTGGGCAGCTCTGATATCTGGAAATGGCACGTTTATACTTTTTTTTTTTCAAATGGTTTCAATTAAAATGTTAATAATTATTATTATCATTCTCACTGGGTAGGTATTACCATGATACCAGATGGAACATTTTGAGAATTAAGTTTTACATGCAATATTATTGAATTAATCTTAAGGTAACCTGACTCGCAAATTACACGGAGCTGTCAGGAAGGACACGTTTGTAGTTGACGATGGTGGATATGCAATCATAAGGTTCCATGCAGACAACCCAGGCTGGTGGATGTTCCATTGCCATCTCGTTACCGACTTTAAGGTAAATTTTATTCCTGAAATATTTAACGAAATTGATCCTCAATCCAGTGAAAATATCATATAAGATACATCCCTGATGCTCATAAACCGAGCGAATGATCGTCGTTGTACTTGGGAGTGTATAGGGATTTACAGTATTTTAGTTACCGGTATGTGATTCAATATGCTAAAACTACCTGTTATGGACTGAAAGCATATTATAGATCCCAGGTATTCAGCCTTGTTAAATTGCCAATTTGTAATGGCCACGGTGGCCATTACAAATTTAGTAAAATCATCAGTGGGCCGACATTGACTTGTGTACTTCCAAATTATTTCATTGAACGACAGCCCCACACACTCAATTTTATAAGGCATAAGTCTTCTTAATAATAGTATTAAGTATTTAATAATAAATTATAATATAAAGCCTTGGTTTATGAGATTGAAAATACTTTTAAACATCAACTATGACAGACTTTGTTTTGTAAAAATGATGGAGGAGGTGTATGTAGTACCGTAGATATCCGTCTGTCGTGATCGAGTATAATTTTCACAAATAAACTTAATAAAAACCCAATACATTGTTGTTATGAATTTGTGAAATTCTTAATTTGTCTTAATACATTGTCATTTCAATTTCACCATATTGCAATAAAGCTTATTTGAATTTGAATCAAACAAAGTTAGAACGAGGAAGCGTATTCCACGACAATTAACGGATACTATACCTCTAATTTTTTGGATAGATTTGTTGGCAATCAATTTAAGAATTTTCTAGTAAAACGTTTATTGAAAGTTGAAAAAAAAAATGATTGGTGAGATTTTTGTTTCAAGACCATGCGTCGAATTCTTTGTTCATTCTCATACGTCATGATAATAATTATTTATAATGTGTTCGTTCCCTGGTAAGCATTTCTTTTAAAAGGGCGACCTCTACGACGAGCGCATCTTCGGCTCACTACCAAACAACACAGAAGATAAGCCTAATGCCTACCTTTATGGACTAGTCCCGGGAGAAGTCGACACATTCTAAATTTGATTCAATTTAATATCTCTTTAAAAAATATTTAAAATATGATTTTAAGATGCTTTCATTTTTCATTTTTGCTTAGCTTGGAATGGGCGTGCTGATTAAAGTCGGGGAGCAGTCGGACTTACCGGAGGTACCTCCAAACTTTCCCCGATGCGGCTCGTTTAATGGCCAACAGAGGTCCGAGGTAGATAATATCAAAGACAAACCGGGAAGCGCTTCAGCTGCATTCATTAGCATTTATGTCCTTTTGTTCTTGTTCATCTGTATCAAAGTTCTCTAGATTAGGTCATATTGTTTTTTTTAATACAGCAAAATTTAATTTTGTATGTAATATGTTTTCCTTTATTTGGTTGGCAGAATCACTTGAATGGATTTCGAGGATAAAACAAATAAAAAACAAATACAGTTTGTTCTTCCAAGTTAGTTTAAAAGTTCATAATGTTAGGCCCTATATCAAGCAGTTATTACATTTTAATTTTGTTATATATAATGATAACATCAATGCACCGATGTCAATCAATCTATTGTTTATTTAGACAAGAGTATTTTTCTGGTATGGTTATTATTCCAGAAGCCACAGCCAGGCAAAAGTAGAAAGCCTGAACAAAGTATACCTAGAGCCATGCAGAAAGCGAAAGGAAGGGGAACAGTTTCAAAGTTGATGATGATCAAACAGTAATTAGATTTCAAGTTTGATATTTCAACTTAACAATGATAACATCCTTCAAATTGATGGTTATCAAACAGTTATTAGATTTCAAATTTGATATTTTAACTTAGAAATGATAACATCAATTATTCAAATACTAATATTTTCAGGCAAAGTAGAAAGCCTAAACAAAGTAGTAGCTTTAGGATGCAGAGGCGGATTTGGAAGTAAGAAAATAAAAAATAAATAAATGAAGAAAGAAAAAGAAATTATTGATCTCTCAGAAGTTACAGAAAACACCGATTTCCCAGTGGCCTTAGGATAATGTTGTCTCTCATCGTCCCCCCACCCCCACTTTCGCACATCTCTGGATCTGCCCCTAGGATGTGTTCCATTTACTGTTATGAGTTGTGGTAGTTAATAAGATTTTGGTATTGGTAGAAGTTAGTCCTGCGAATAAATACTAACAGAGATTTTTTATTGGTGCGTATGTACCTCTTATTTGTATGCCTAGGCCTAAACAGTTCAAATAATTGACAAAAATACAGAATATAAACAAGTTCGACGGTACAAAATGGACACAAAACATCAACATCAACAACGAAAGTGGATCCCATAGTCGAGAGAATAAGGCATTGGTCCCCGGGTGCTTTCGTATAGTCTATTTTGTTTTGTAGTGGAGGATACAGGAGGAGTGCCTATGCCATGAGCTTCAGCGTTTTGGCCAATTTATTCTTGTCTCTAAATGATTTCACACGTTGCGATTTAGAGGGGAAAGGCCGAGTGCCCATTTTGTCACTCCTCATGCGTTTTCTGCGCGGTCACCTCACCGTACATACCATATTATTATTCAAGGCGGATCCAGGAATTCGAAATAGAGTACCGGTACAGTACTCGCGTGAATAAGCGCCCGGGCGCTTAAAATATTTTTTTGCACTTTTTGAGGGGCGCTTATTCTAACGGGGCGCTTATCAAAACAGAGTGGCGCTTATGGAAATAGATGAAAATCGAGTGGTTATGAGAAAAATGTAAGAAGATGAAAATTGGAAATATACTGTCTGTCCAGAGAGCTCTCATCTGTCCAAGATAAATATCCTCATTTTGATATTGACTAAAGGAGAATGTGATTCCATTCCACACCTCAAATCATGCCAACATCCACAGTCCAGGATTGACTGAATTATTGAGGGGCGTTTATTCAAACGGGGCGCTTATTCGCGCGAGTATGGTATTCGAGGTTTTACGGTAGTAGTATTAAGTTTATAGAGGGCGGTATTATTCACGAACTCTATGATTCATGTATCGTGTGATGATAATCACGTAATATCATAATTACTAATTATCAGTTCAACCTGGCAGTACCATAATTGTAATATCCGCAGAAGTCATTATTTCTTCTGAATTCTGACTCATCCGCGCCGCCGAAACCCTTCAGTTATGACAATCTCATTGGTGAAGTTCTCTAGTCCCGCGTATTAATCACAATTGTCGAAGCTTTAAAGCCATGGGTCCGGGGGATTTTTTTTTTAATGTTGTACAACAGATTTTTCTAATACACATATTTTACGAAAAACTTAAGAGCGGTTAATGGGATACATATTTTTGGATACTGTATTTAAAAACAGGGGGAAATGTGAAAAAAAGGGGTTGATAAAAAAAAATCTCCGAAGCCTGCTTTAAAAGGAAAAGCGGGAAAATTGTTGG